CGGAACACACTGTAAGGCAATTCTAAAAAAATGAAAGACGAAAGGATGTGTTGGGGGCAGGAAATGCTTTGGGGGCAAGATGCCACACTTGGATGCCAGTTGTTTAACCATCGATCGAGATAAACGATTTCGGGCCAATACTGGAAGATGGTCGACTGCTTCAGAGGCGGACTGAAGGATAGTACGTAATCGAATTAGATCGACAAGAACGAAGCTCGAACGCTGACCGAGAATGAAAATGCAGGAATATGTGTTTTGGTGATTCTAATTGACGCGAGATATACAATGAGCTTGTGTTCTATGATTAATGGATTTTTGATCGAGGCCTAGACTTTGACCTTTGGCTTCACGGAGGATCACTTGACAAAAGTGGTTCTCAATACCGATAGCTCGGGTTGACGATTCAGCTGTTCATTTGTTCGCAGTGGAGCTAAATTGATTTGATTGGCTTCAAGAATAATGTTGTGAAGTGGGGATTCTCGCATTTACACAGTACATCGATTCACAGCCAATCATGAGGAAGCGCACATAATATCGTCGATAATCTATCTATGGACGAGCACAATAACTGGTGGCGTCCATTTCTGGATTCGCCAGGTACGATTTCTTCGCGACCAAGCTACAGTCGACTATGTACTGTGATGTAACATCGATTAGTGACGAAACGTGTGCAACCGAACTGCCAGACAGCGAACCAATCGACAGCGGGAGAATCAAAGTAGTCAGATGGAATGGTCAAGGATCCGAAATGAGCGCGACTTGTTTTATCTGATACATTGTACAACACCATGGATGCAGCCGATCCTGAGGACCCCATTCGAGATACAAGTTAACCCGACTCAGCCCCTCGGTGAGTTCCTTCATGTGCTTGTCATGTCGCTGACTACACGATTCGTTGCATCTCCCAAATGTTTGCATCGGTCACGCTTGACGCTGCATCGCGTGCGTCATGTGACACCATGCACGTATGTACTCATGTGAGCCACTCATGGATGCGTTCGCGACGTGAGATCACGTGATCGCCTCGTCACCATATGGCTCATACGAGTGCACAAGTGCAACGCGCCACATTACACACGTGATGCAGCTTCAAGCGTGATTGATTTGGGGGAACGATGCACCCAGAGGGTCGCATTCAACTGGCAGTTATCAGACGATCCACGGCTAGTTGGCCCGTAGACATGCGGGGCACATCACCGAGCCATCGAAGGCGATTGGAGTGCAACAGACATTCCAATGAGGCACCAGAGTCTTCGGTCAAACACTAAACATGCACGCTGACCAAAGCCTAAATTTTAAGCAATTATCACAAAATAAGCTGCATACGGATCCTATTTCGTAGGACAGAATCACTGCAACAATGCAAAGTAAGTGACGGATATCCCAAGACACATAAACAGCAAGATTGCAAACACCGCACTTGAATAAACAACAACGAAACGGATCGCTTGGTTGGATATCAAGGTATTCGAAATGACCGACTCCTCAATCCGCATCACCTGATGGTAGCTCACATATCAACTACCAGCCTGAAGGGAACCCTGTCTAGATCGAAGGGGAAAAAGAAAGCACACGAACGCCGAAATATCGTTTGCAGAATACAGTGTCAAAATGGCGAGAAACACTATGTGGGTCAAACAGGGAAGAAACTATCCTCAAAATTACAAGAGCAAAAACGAACGTGCCGAAACCAGTACTCATCATCAAGTGTCTCGGCGAGCAAATTTTGCTGGGAAAAAACGGAGGTCCTGGCGCAGAGACAAGAAAAGGAAGAAAATTTCATGAAGCGTGGTTCTCTATGGAGAATTTAATAAACCTGCGCATTGGCCTAGATTCAGTGTATCAACAAGAACAAGGCGGAAATGAAGCAACAAACGAGTACGCTCACGGGACATGAACCGAAGGGATTAAATTCAAACATCACGTGCTCAACGAAATTAACACTAAGCAAGAAAGCACTGAAGTTACCTCGATTGGTGATGAAACATGTGCAGTAAAACTGACAACCTAGGAGAACAGACCAAAACCCGAACTAAATGACGAAGTTAAGTAGTATTCACTAAGTTCTTCCACCACATATGCGTAATATTTTGTAAGCACCGGTGGTCAAACACGGTCAGGCTGAGAGCCTGACCGCGCAGTCGCCAGGTCTATGTTCCATACAAAACGACCGCTGTGTCGTGGCGTTCTGAACCATTCTCTTAATCAGATGGTTTGCATGTAGTCGTCTACATAATTGACGGAGACATTGAAAAGTCGTACGGACCTTAGCAGTGTGCAGCAACATCTTCGGTGGTGTAGTTAACACAGCTGATATAGATAATCCGGAGAAGCCAATCGATCGAGCGGCTGTTCAATGAAGGGAAAAATGGAGATAACTCGTCCAGTAGCAGTGCGGTGCACTGTGAAAGTGCAGAGCAAAAGGTGTTCAACGCGATCCCGTAAAAATAGGGAACCTGGCTGTTCTTTCTTGTCAGATACATGAAGCGGCTTTGTTGCAGTGGCACAACGACTACAGCCTGATTAATGGCCGCATGAACAGAGTGCTACCAGTAACCCGAACAAACCGGTACATGAACAGTTGACTGGGATAACACTGCTGTCCGAATCACAAGAGTTCAGTTCAGGTAATCAAAATATGCTCCCAGTAGCAGAGTGCTGCGGATCCAATTGATATGGCTAGGATCGCCACAGCAAAAACGATCAACAGAGATGACGGAAGAAGAAACAAAAAGATCTAAAAGAACGTAAAATAGTAGATAAGATTGTCAAATGTAAGGCCTGGAAGAAAGAATCGAAGACCGAGCACAGTGGGGCCATTTACCTCAACGAAGGCAATACCTCTGACAAGTTGTCCAACCAGTGACGTGTCGGATCTTTGGGCTGCAGACTAGAAAGATGACAAACAATTTAGTCTGAACGAATGTTCCTATTTCCTTCGCCGTTTATTTTCGACACTGCTTAGTCGCCACGCTGTATCACCTTAGACGCAGTATCAGCAAGCAACATAAACCAGAGTGGATCCGATCGATGGAGTGAGCAGAGATTGTCCAAAGTCAACAGCGTAGGCGCCGCAAATCAAAAGAGTAAGCTCGGGAGCAAAATCGCCAGTGCAAGTTACCTTTCTTAGGCAGTACAATTCGGTTAAACAACTGTGATCTGGAAACCAAGGTGCCATAAATCCAGTCGTCGCTATGAAAACAGTGGTAATAATGAAAATGGAAGGCAAAATGTGGTAAAACACAGAGCAGGGTAAAGAGAGAAGACGTGGTTGGAGAAATGATGAGTAAAGTGAATTATTGTGGTGGAAAGTGGACAGTCAGATCGGAAAACCGAGTGTAGCAGAGCCATTCAGATTTCCTTTAATGGTTAAATAAATAAATAAACTTTTTATTCTTGATAACGTGATGTACGTCTTTACAGGCATGATCATGTTAACATAACAAAGCATGAGCAAACATGTGTAAAAACCCAATATGTTTGCCATAACGGTGTGTTTGCGTAGGGGTGTATATACGTATTTAATTGGGTGTGTAGCTGTGTAGTTCGTGCTTGTAATTGTGCTGCTCCATTCTTGACTGTATGATATCATCCGCAATGTGCGGTTATAAGATTGACGTCCGTGGGTTTGAAAGGATTGTCCGGATATCCACGGGGCAGTGACTTTGTGGCGAGTCATGACCGCCACATCAGTGTTGTTAAGCAGACATTTGAGGCTTTATATGGGGAGAACGCTTGCCAGGCGAAAATCCACCACATCCTGGAACATTGCCGCCGAACTATTTGCTGGAACGGGTTAAACCCGAACCATTCAGCTGGCACCATGAGGAGGTTGTTCGGCTAACCAGCCAGCAGAAGCAACATTTCGCACCCATCATTGGATAAACAGATAATTTTTAGCTCCGGTGATGGTTAGCGCAAAGAACGATGGTAACATGGGGGCTTTATTGTGCATAACGGATGGATATACGCCACGATAGGATTATAAGCACTGAGAATAGGAGTACGAAAGTGCTACGCAAAGATTATTCTTGTGGACTGTTCCATCGATTCAGAACAGCGGCGCGTTTATTGTCACCTGCTACGATTTCTTGCTGAGTCTGTGTCTGATGCTGAGTTAGCCCCGGAGTAATGGCTGATTAGGACGCAGGGCAATGAAAGTATCAAGGAAGCGTCTCGCCAAAACCACGACATCTTCGCGGTGTGTGTGAATTCGCGCGGCGTTCATTCTAACAGTGCACCTATCTGGAATAGCACACAATTTAAATGATCGACGTGAGCATTCACAACCCAGAAGATCAGAACTGTCAATGACATCATGAGCCGGTGACCATAGGCGTTCATTTATGAATCTACTAAAGGAAGGATAAAATTCAGGCACGCTTATGTAACCGTTCATATTTGTAGAGTTGCTCATTCAGTGACATTTGTTTTAACGTGTCATTCCGTTGGTCACAATGGTATGCAACAGTGGCTGTTACTGGTGGTGGACCACAGTTCAGTCCTGATGCTAACGTTGTCGCTTACTTCTGGATGGCCGCAACTGATGGGTTCCTTATTGGCTTCGCTCAGTTGCTAGACAGCTACGTGTCTGTTAGACCTTCAGCTTTATAAACAGTAAAAGGAAGGTATCAACAGTACGCCGCTATATCGCTTCGCCCCTCCGTCCGCAATCACCATCAGTCACGCGTGAGCTAAGGATACTGCGAGGGTCCAGACACGGAAACCATTCGGTCACCGGACAGCCGTTTTCTGATGTAGCGAATTCTGTTCCTGCTCGTCTTGTGTTCTCATTGCCGTAACGAATTGGAACAGTAGCGGAGTCTTTATACGTAAGTTCCGAAATGTGGGGAAGGTACGACGCAACAAGGTCTTACAAGTGATGAGATTCAGAAACACGCATCATGGGAAATACAAAGAAGACGGGGATAGAAACCTAGAAAGGAAGCTAATACGTAAAGTGAACGAGCGGTCGCAGCGAGGATACGTGATACACTCACCTCGAGACCAGGCCAGGGGCCATACCTTTCCAGCATACGTTGGCGTTCCATTTGAACGGTGACCACGGGTTGATCGCCGCGAAGTGATGTGGGGGATGGTGTTGAACTTGAGCCTGGCACCATATTAGAATCGAACTGGTCCAATTGTGCTTGGAGAGGAGCGACGGGATGTGCACCATGTTTCAGGCCTTGTATCGCTCTCAGGGCAGAGATTCGATCCAAACGATAAACTGACATGAGGTACACTGCCACGACGGCCACATTGGCAGACATGCCAGAGTCGCTGTGGTGGGGGCGGGGGTAGAAAAGACAGTAGACTATTTGATGGTGCAGGAGATGGGAAGCACATGGGGAACTGAATTCACAGATCCGTGTGGAAAATTCGTGGACTGAAGAAGCTATAAAACACCAGTGAACATAAATGATAGCAAAATACAAATAGGAGAAAAACAGGTGAGACAAAATGGAAGCTGGTAAAACATCAGATCCTTCAGACCATTTCTCCTAAACGGATATTCACACAGATTCGTCCGGTGATATATGAACAACAAAGCTACGACCTCAGCCTGATCAAACGACAACGAAGAGAATCGTCCTACCTTATGCAAAGAACATCGCCGAGAGTATAGAAAGATTACTTGGACGGCACGGTAGTACAGTGGCTCAAAAACCAACTATCACTTTAAGAACCCTGTGGAAACCCGAAGCCAGACCTAGGGTCCATGAAGGACGAAATGTTTACAAGGTACCGTGTCAAGATTGCGATAAGAAGTATGTGGTTCAGACAGGAAGGCAACTGTCAACAAGAGTAAAGGAGCACTACCCTCTCTTCGTGGTTTCATTACATACGGACGAAGAAGAAAATCGCTTCGAATGGAACAACACAGAAGTCTTAGCACAAGGAGAGACACGAAAAGGGAGAGAGTTACTCGAAGTATGGTACTCAACGAAGCGCTCGACAAACATGCAGATACACATGGACCCAGTATACCAATCATCAAAATGGAGAGAACTGAAATAGCTTATAAACCGTCGTCGGCAGCCAAACGGGCCATCAATAACACAACCGTAACAAAACCATGGCACGAATTATCCGTGTCTAACATAGGACTTAGGAAGACGGGTGAAGGTCAAGGGGCACAGAGCGATGAGGTCAATTCAAAAGTCACTTGCTGATTGATCATAAATCGACGACCATGTTAGCGGATTACAGTTGACCCAGTAGCGCAGTGAGGAAAGGTTTGCATACCAATTAGGAAGCTTGGCGAACAGGTGAACCCGTAGCTATCAGTTGATAATTATTGTTACGGTGTTTTTTATCTCTCATTGTATTTACCTCTATGTCGCGGTATTCCGCCATAGAATTCACCAGGGAGGAGGAGAACAACGAGCAGTTACCATTCTTAGACGTTCACATACGACGGACTGGTGCTGAACGATTGGAAACAACAGTCTACCGAAAATCTACGCATACGGATCAGATCCTCAACTACGGCAGAAATCATCCGGCAGCCCACAAACGCTGCTGGGTGCGAATCCTTTTCAAAAGAGCACAAACCCATTGCAACACACCGCAGCTGAGACGGGCAGAAGAAGACCATCTCTTCAATCTGCTCAAGCGGAACTCGTACCCGAAAGGCTTCATTCTGCGCTGCCTCACGCCACAAAAGGTTGCTGGACACACCTCAACAAATGCAACAGCTGAAAAGAGGACAACACTGCCCTATATCAACGGTATCTCCGAAATGGCAGCGAGGTTTTTATTGCCTTTTGGAGTTAAAGTTGCACACCAGCCAACAGAAACAATTCGCAGTAAACTCTTCAAAGTAAAAGATAAACTTAGCAAAGAAGAAGAAACTGGTGTGATTTATAAGATCTGCTGCCGGAACTGCGACAAGTACTACATGGGACAGACTGGAGGAAAGCTTGGCACAAGGCTACACGAACACAGCCTAGCCATACGTCGCCACGATCAGAACTCCCTGATGTCAGTGCATATGGATGCCGAGAACCATCAATTCGACCCAGAGCATGCCACTATCCTCGGAAGGGATAAAAGCCGGCAAGCATGTGAGTTTATTGAAGCCTGGCATTCAAAACAGAACTCGATCAATAAGCACTTGGACATTGAAGTCGCTTACGAGGCACTGCGAACCAGGCACCTGAAGCCGCACTGATGATGTTGCCTAGTCAGGCAACGAAACGTCTGCACAATAATCACTCAGCTTGGAGAACAGCTCAAAACCCACATCCACACCCCAAGCTACGGATATTCTCATTTAATATTGGCCAGATATATATATCTATATATTTATAATAAAATAGAACCCGAGTGCAATAGGTACACATCCCAGTCCCAGAACAACCGGGTCGATGTACCGCAGTTAAAGTCTCCGCTTCCCTTCTTGGTTGCGTCCGGGAGTTTTCATGTGTCACTCAAACCCCAAACGAATCTGTCGCTTGTATAAACAGTTTATCGCCACAGAAGAGTATGCTGCCAAATCTGCCTACGGTTGTCATTGGATATTATACAAGCTACTTTTAGTAAGTTTGCTAAAACAGTTTGAACACTTTTTCGAAAGCCGAATGTAGGACAGGGAGCAGCGGGATTTACTAGATGTCTTACTGTTGTGATCGCGTCAAAGAGACCTACAGAGAATGTGTGAGATCGCCTTCTAACGCATATAGCAGACGGCGTCTACAATACACTCGAAACTTAACTCATCACTGCTTTACAGTACCTATCATTTGTGCATCATTCCACCGGGGAACCACAATGATGGTATTTGATGCCCTATTCCTATTTTTGTCTTTATCTATTGTTGATGCCCACACTTCGGACTAAAGTTAAGACTGCCATTTAGGTGCACGTCCAAACGTTAACTAACCACCGACAGTCGTACTGGTTGCTCATAATTGTACGTGCGATTTTCCGAAACTAGAGGAACATGACTGTTATTGTTTCATTCAATGCAAACTCATGCACATATGTAGTGTCATTGCTCATGTGGGTTACTGTTTCTCCATTCAGTTTGTGGTAATTCATACACGAGTATGAACAAATGCCCGCTCGAAACACTGCAGTACTGCAACGCGAAGCAGGGACATTTGGTATGTCAACTGATATCTCTACTCGCAGCAGGCGGTGCACGTCATCATGTTGAATGTGTAAGTGAAAGTCAGAACACTTGTAAGAGACACATTTCCGCTTTACAGACTGATCGCATTTTCACACACGTGACACCATTATCCAATGGCTCGATGTCTAAGTGGGGCTCGCCCAAATTGCAGGTAGTGTTAACGTATGTTCGTGTCTCGTTACGTGCCCACTTGATAGATGGATCATATTAAATACCATCTCGTGACACAGTGCCTTATTGTGGGTTGCAATATGAGGTCAATGTAGCCCATGTCAAGTGCGGCTTTATACGCCCCCTTGTACTACTGCCGCCTTCAGATACACGCACTGAGATTCAGACAAGTCATCAATTTTGCTTCCCGAGACAGCTGCAACCCGAAATCGAAATGTTTGGACACACGTAGCATTCTAGGCCCTGACGAAATGGTCGAGATATGCTGGCGCACAGAACGTGTGATCAAGACGAAAATAAATAATCACCCAAGACTGACTGCCTGATGGTTCCACATACATGTGAATTCTCGATTACCTCTCGGACAACAGACGAGCGGACCGGATCTGGTGTACATTCCGACACGGATAGCCTGCAGTTAATATAGGAGACGGTATTTACAGCACACACCAACGACAGGTCGTCACCGTTACACTGTTTTTACTTCTGTTTTATGTCATGTTGTAACGTTACCGCCCATCTTGTCAGTAAATTCTCCATTGTGGCATCTGTGCTGCTTGCAGCACGAGTGGACAAACACGGATCTGCTGACACTTCATTTCATGCACCCTTACTTGTATTCGAACAGGTTCTTGCATTTTCATGCATTGTATATCATGTTGCATCATCACTTTCTTTTTAGCCCAGGAGACCAGTTCCAGGATTTCTCGGTAACACTACACACGCAACTCTCGTACTGCTATTGAGCATGCGCACTCTAACGCATAATAATAGCACCCTGGGTCGACGTAGTTCGTCGAGCAATATTGATTGAGGTGCCACCTCACCTCTCACACACTGTTGCGCACCTAAGCGCCAGTTATCCACCACTGATCACTTGCTTCTTCCAGGGTTACTTAGCATCACATTCCTCCCCGTCCCTGTCCCCATCTCTACCCAACCAATTTTTTCACCCCAACCCCGGAGCGAGACAAATCCACCCGTATCTCTGCCATCGAAATCAATAGCCAAACGTGGCCGCAGGCCAGCACGCCAAACACTCAAGGTTGGATGCTGGAATGTGCGCACACTGCACGATCGGGACACCAATCATCGACCTACGCGACGAACCGCTTAGTTGCCAGGGCGCTTGGGCGTTATGAGATTGATATGGAAGCGCTGAGTGAGACCCGACTGGCTGATCAAGGCAAATTGCGAGAGGATGGCGCTGGGTACACTTTCTACTGGACTGGAAATTCCGGCGCAACACCACGTGAACAAGGCGTCGGATTTGCAATTGCTGACCGCTTGAATGGTCGCTTGACGGGGGAGCCGATTGGTCTCAGTCCACGGTTGATGTCATTTCGCGTATGTCTCAGACGTGGTATGTTCGCAAAATTTATTAGCACGTATGACCCCACCATGAGTTATCCGGATGGCATGAAAGATGATTTCTACTCCCAATTGGCCTCTGTTATAAAGGTCTGTGCCAATGAGTGACGGAATATTCCTGTTAGGAGACTTCAATGCACGTGTAGGCTGAAGTGATTGGGCCGCACGGGATTGGAGTAGTCAATGGAAACGAAGAGCGCTCGCTTTCATATGTGCGGCACACATGGCTTGACGAGCACGAACATTCAGTTCGCCCTGTGTGCTAATGACATTGCATGAAAGTGAATGCGGGACTGATCATAAGCTGGTGCGCACAAACTTCTACATAAATGTCTACAAATCGTCGTACTTTCCATCGAGTACCAATCGGAGGAAATGCAACGTCCGCGCCCTTTCGAGTGCAGAAAAGAGACAAGCACTGGAGAATGCCATAACAATCCGCTTCGGCAAAGACGACTCCTCGGCTTCCGTCAGCGTCCTATGGGACCACATGAAGAAACAGACCATTGCTACGGAGGAGACGATTGAGGGTACAAACTGTAAGCGGCCCGACTGGTTCGACGAAAACAGTATGACGAGTAGGCTAGTAGTACGAGCGAAA